CACACAACATGTCACACGTCAGACAATACGCAACACACAACGAATTATGATCACATGCAAAGCCAAAGTAGTCACCAAAACTGTGCACCATATACATGTACTTTCAATGTACAATGTAACCTTGCCACGGCCATCATGTAATGTTACAGTACCTTGTAGACATTCATATTCTTCTATGTAATAGCAACATTCTAAGCTAAACCTTTATGTACCAGGTGACTTCATATTGTAACATCAGAAATCCTTTCAAGTACACACAGCTCAGATTTATAGGAATTAAAAAGATGCTTTCTGGAGCCTCTACTATATCATTATTAATCCATGTACAGTACTGACAATCATGTACGTCACCTGAGTGATAAATATTAATGTCAAATTACAAAGCCAAAACTACCCCAGCATGCAACCTATAAGCTGACAAACTTTAGCCAAGGAAAAGCATAGGTTTCCTATGGCTGATATCTAGGGCATATTTCCAGCAGTGTACAGTACTTCATGCCACCTGCCCATACCCCTGAACACCATGATGCTGATTGCTGAACAACAATCATAATCGCTAGACTCATTATTCTGACTACAGTTCTACCAGTGTGACTAACACTTTGAGACAGCATCCTGTAGAATTGCATGTCCTTTGGCATGGACTCGTGAGCCGCGGGTCCTTTGCTCACCTTCAACACAAAAAGAAATGGCCGTCGTTGCCATGCAACATGCAGACAACAGAAAAATGGCAAAACGTACAGGGAAATTAAATCAGAAGCACTAACAAAAAACCTCTACTGTGTCGGTTATGGGTAAATAACATGATTATGGTTTAAACTTTTGATTAAAAGGCAAGGAAACTGATGTTCCACGAAAAACTTTTGACCAGTAGAAGAGAAGCTTTGATAAAACATTCTATTCGGCAAGACAGTTTTTGCATGTTGAGTCAAAGTTAAACCATAATCATGTACTTGAGAAGTAATTAAAATCACACTGTATTGACTATAATGGGGCATCTCATGATCACATGCATGCATACATTCGAGACATTCACAATATCATATCTACAAAAAAAGTAAGGTAAAGCAAGGTAAAGCCAACTACATGTAAAACTTTCTCAGCCAAACACAATTATACAGATACTGTGGTAAAACACAATAAGATAAAGATGGTGCAGTAAACTTAGTCCAAAATTTGTTGCTACGTTGGAATTCTGAGATCCAGGCATGCTTACTGGGTTATTTCTGTAGAACACAAAAGCTTCAAACTTCATTACTCACCTTCTATTCAGGTTGATACCAGATGGAAATCAGCAATCTTTTTAAGCATAAGGCCTGCTATATTTTGATTCTATACAGTGCTAACAGACTATTATATTGTTTGCACTCTTACTTCTCGATACAAGCTTGAACAGTCTGTGAAAAATTGCAATAGTATTTAACCTGGAGAAACAGTACACAAGCAGAGGATTAACAAACATTGTGGTTCTACTAAGTTCTAGCCTCAACATCAGCCTTCAACATAAGTTTTCAACTCATAAAACAGCTGAATACAGCTGAATAAGTCTGGTACCCAAGCTGCCTGAGCTGCCATTACAGGCCTTACCTTTGGCAAATTGCCAATCAGCAACCTGCTGGCGTAGTCTCTCAGGTACTTGCGGAACACCCCTGCGAGGTCCACCATGGGCGCCCCCGCACTGAGCTGCGAGCATTGCACCATGCACTTCTTGTAGAACACAAACAGGTCTGCACAGCTGGGCAGCACTGCACCTCCATCCTCACCCTCCACATGTGGGACACCGTGTTCCTTGAAGTCCTGAACAAACCGCTCAATCAACTCAGCTAAGTTTTTTGTCCTGAGACAGGATGTAAACATGCAGGTGTGGCTCAAAACACTGGGAGATGATACCAATGAATGGAGACTGCTTTGGCTTGGCTGGTGTAGTTTGCGCATTGTCGTCTTCCACTTCAAATGGGTTTGTTGACTCCCGTTGCTGCAGTTCCACAAACGGGTTGGTTGAATTCTGGGCCTGCCCTTCTTCCTCAAATGTAATGCCAGTGAATCTCTTGACCAGCAGCTGCTCAAAGTTGGTGGTTCTCTGGATGGCGAATAGGAGCAGCTTGACCTCGATCTCCGCCTTCCTGTTGGTCATGATGCGAGACATCTCCTTCCTGGTGATGTGGCAGAACTCCACAGCGATCCTCTCACTCACCGCCCACTCAGCAGGGAACATGTTCCCAAACTTCTCCTCAAACTCCACCAGTGCTCGTTTCAGCCAGGCATAGCGCCGGTCAATCTTGTCCAGCCAGGCGACATCTTGCCCCTCGTGGAACAGCGCTGCATACTCCTGCAGCTGTAACTTCACAAACCACTTCATCAGGTCACGCTTGACCTTGGGGTCAAGGACATTCACCACCAGACATGCCTCGGCCAGCTGCGCTGTGTTGCTGGGTCCCAGACCTTTCCCACCTTGGGCTGAGAATGCCTCCTCAAAATCTGCCAAGATCTGTTGACCAAGTTCTGTCTGGATCTGTTTCACCTAGAAATGGAAGAGAAATTTATCTTTACTCCTTTTACGAACAGCACCATAAAAGCATGTCTAGACTTATCATTGTATCTTTGTCTTTATTGTGTACAAGTCTGCAGGCTACTCAATCTATGAGATGGCATGTCACTGTCCTATCAGCCTTGTCAAAACAAGCTGGCTACTGGGGAAAATCGCCTGCCCCAGCCTACCTGATCTGCTAGCTGGCCAATCTGCGGGATGCTCATGTACTTGTGGAAGTGTTCCATGACGTTGACCACTCCCTGCAGCAGGTTTGCGACCTCTCCGTACTGCCGGCGGCGAATGAGGGAGTGCAGCGAATCAACGCCCCCTACCAGCATGTGCAGGTGGTTCAGGGTGGTGATGGAGGAGGTAAGATGGCGCTTGGCGTGGTCCAGCTGCTTGATATCACGGGTGATCTCCTTCACCATCTCCTCTGACTTCTCAGCCTGGAGGGGCGCAGCAGGAAAATTACTGAATTAATGTGGTAGACTTTATATAGTACCTTGAGCTGTGACCCAGATGCTGGATTGTTAATCACTATACTATTGTACCGTTATGCTCTCTAAATATTTGTGGTGGTTTTAAGTTCATAATCTCGGTGGTACCTTTTCCATCGCAAATCATCAAACCACAAACAATACAGATTTTCTGTCAGTAATACATTTGTAATACATTGACTCTTTGCCCATCACTAACTTGAAACTCCTCTGTACCCACTACTGCAAAATAATATTCCCCCAAACTTTGAATAGAATTTACAGTATTACAGTACAATACTAACCTTGTCCTTGATGTCCTTGATCCTCTCAAACAGCTGCTGTATGGCCTTCTGTGCCTCCTCCAGGGCCGCCTGCCCATCCTGACTTACGTTGGTCTGACCTCGCACGACCCCTCGGATGTCATCGTCCAGACGACGGATCTTCAGACGGATTCTGTTCACAACCTGCAGAATTTGAACATGGATTGGTCACTGAGGTTTACTGCCAACAGTACCAGTCAGTTTATCTCCCCTTTTCATGAACAACAGCTTTCAAACACTACTGATTCTGCCAAACAGGTTCTGTTCAATTCAACTAAGAATTTCATTTCAACTTTGGGGATGGAGTGCATCAGCTCAGCTGAGCAAGTTGAATTTAGTTGGAATTGGTCACAGTAATGGGGATGTTTTGCATGGTCATCAGTTTATAGGTTGCACATCACAGACTTATTCATAGGAAGGTGAACATGAACAGCCGATATCTCGTAACTGCAGGAACAGGACGACGTTAGACAGGGGATGATCATGACAGGACACTGAGGACAGGATGATCATCAGCTGCTGGAAGGAGCAAGGAACAACGCCCCTCCCCTCACTGTATAAGAAACTCATTGATTAATAATACGTGTATGAGTAAAGACTTTGTGTAATGACTTTAGGTATCATTGATATGGACCCAGCTGACGCAAGGTTCATCCCCAAACCATCATGATTGAAATGTTGACATCACCGATCGTGGAATTTGAATTTTTATGACGGGATCTGTGATAGAACGAGATCCGGCCCCACCTCGTCGATGTTGGCGAGAGATTGCTCCGTGGGGAACAGCGTGTTGATGTACTCCACTGGGTTGAAGTCAGGACGATCCAGAGGGTCGTTGCTCGGTAAGACCTGGTCTATGGCTTGTTGTACCTCCGGTGGGAAGACCAGGAGCGTCGCGAGTTGGTCATCAGCCACATCATCGTCCTCCAGCGACGCCATGATGGCGCTTCTAACCCCTGACCTCTCTGTAGACTAGTCCACATGTATGTAGGTTTTTTTCTCAAAAAGGAGAGGCAAATGGCATGCACACAAAAAATGTCAAATTAAATACAATTTTAAAATTTTGCTGTGATGATTATTATGTATTGTCAGTGAAAGAATGCTCTGTATAGTTTCATATTTTTTCTTCTTTGTAACACCCCTTAACTAGAATGTTCCATTTAGCGACGGAGAAAGATGGAGGTCTGAGCTGTTTCCGGGCGCTACAACCACCTGTCCGCGACGAAGGGTGGGTTTCTACCATCTCCTCAGCTTCAATAGCACTCAGAAGGTACGAAGGCATTTTGTGTGTAAAACTTTACTTGATTTCATTAGTGATCACATTTCTGTGGAGTGTAAAGACGCCTTGACCTTCAGCGAAATTCCCGAGATGTGCGAACGAGCGTTTCAAGTCGCTGCGTCCGGCCTTCATGCACCAACGCTGGCGCGTTTCCAGCGGGCAAAATCGATACTATAACTCATTCCTACATATCCCCACCCAATCAGCAGCGCTGTCGGCAGATTACCGCGTTTGATGGACGACATGCAATCAAAGATTTTACTGTTTCTCAGCCATAAAACGCGGTGTTGCGTGTTTCCGCCCCGTATAATGCCCTAATGGCTTGTTGTTTATTGCAACATGACGTTGACTGCACCAGAATCGTTCGCAAAGTGATCGCTCTACTTCCAACAACCAACATCTATGTACAAATTCATTACGATTATTTGATTTATTGAATGTGTTGTTCACTTTCCTTTAACACCCAGTTGAAATAAATAAAATACATAAAATGCTTAAAATATTGTTTATAGGAGTTTTACAAGACATTGAATAACAAATTTGTGTTCTTAACTATCCATATAACGTTACATGTACTTGTATTCAGTTATTGAAATAAGCTGCCTACAGTAAAAAGAGGGACACATGGGCATATCATCTTGATAAATTATTACATCAGGTACGTACACAGCAACGGCAAAGATGCTGCGTTACAAAGAGGTTCTTTGTCAGAAGTGCAGAAATAGTGAATATTTGAAATTTCTCATCTTTCACTTTTTAAGTTTCAGGTCCATGCAGTGTTGAGGAGACACCTGGTCGTGTTCTGCCTTGTGGTATAATAATTGACCTGACTTGACCCCATGATGTCCAGCCATGCTGTTCTACCAGGTGTCTGATGACCCCCCAGGACAGGCTGCAGGCATGGCAGAGAAGTGCAAGGTCAGAATGATTAGCAGTATCTTCATACTGCTGCACTCTGTTGATTTGGAAAGTTCTATTCCCATCTTCTCAAAAAGCTCAATGTTGCAAGCCATACATTTTACACTTGTTATTTGATTCACAGTTAAGTTTAACATGTTATCTGGAAAAACACACTTCTTTCTGTACCTGTATTATGAAATCTTTAATTCTATCAATTTTATTGCAAAGATATGTATTCATCACACATCTACATATTTATTGCCTCTAATAAAGGGGGCCATCGAGTGGAAAATGAATATTCCCTAATAATGTTTGATGAGTTATGAGGGGGTTTGCCTCCTGGTGAAATGACTAGATCATGTCCATGTACCGCAGAGGAGGCTGCTGTGTGAGAATTAATCAGTATCCACATCTGTGTTCCAGACATGTGGCTGCAACTGTGGAGGCCAGGGGTAAATACCATTTTCAATGATCTTAAATTTATTTCACCATTTTCTTGTAAAGTACATTGCAGTGATTTTCTGCAAAGTTGTGCATTCTAGGCATAGCAAACATATACAGACTAGTAGGCCATGAAATGACTTGTTTATATACACATGTATCAGTAAGTAAATGCATTATATACACCATTACAATAACAATTTGAAAATCAACATTTCAAGCAAGATATTCAGTTGAGAAGGAATAACAATGAATATCATACGCATAAAAGATTTGGTGAAAATCCTCTTTAAGAAATTACCATTTGATGTGAAAATGAAACAAACTTTATTGCCTTATTGCTGTAATTACCTCTCAAGTGAAACTAGCAATAAAGTTTAGATCATGAAATAGTGTCACTGTGACAATGTCCCCTGCTGCAGTGCCAAGTACCGTGAGCAGGCGGAGGAGATCAGGAAGAGGATGGTGTACTCCAGCCACAGGATTGAGGTGATGGAGTCGGAGTTCCTGGAGATCCGGGAGAACCTGGAGGATGAGCTGAACGACACGGCCGAGGAGCTGCAGGCACTGAAGGACAAATTCTACAGGTACATCCCACCACCAGCCATCCTTATCAAAATGTCAGATATGGAAGTGTTATATATATATATATTATGAAAGATTCTTCTTCTCCTAACTTCTTAATGAAGTACCAATCAATCCCTTCCCTTCCCACCTATAGGCTGGAGAGAAGCCATAAGTCCCTGCAGAGGGTGAATCAGGACCTGGAAGAGAAGCTGCTTTCTATGGTAAGGCCTCCAATCAATGCAAGAATGAACAACACACTAATTGATAAAAATGACAGAATAAAAGACATGTCAGTATGGATTAATTCAGTTATTATTGAAGTTGTGTAGACCATGGTTTTGAATATTTCTGGCTCTGTCCCTGCCAGGCTGCACAGAGTGAGCGTACGAAGGCCTCCCTGAACAGAGACATCCTGGAGATGACAGAGAAACTGATGAACACCAGGCTGGCTCTCAACCAGCTGGAGGAGTCAAACGTGAGTCTGTTACCATGGCAACTATGACAAATACAGCCAAGGAATGAAACATTTATTACCCAAGACAAGGACATCTATAGCACAAGTTGATTAGTATGGGTTTTCAGCTGGGAGGGTTCAAAGCTTTATCACTTCTTCATGCAATGTTAACAATGCACCTCTCAGGATTCTGTCATTCTCCGTGTCTTGTTGTGTTGTCTATAGGACCGCTATCGGAAGGAGTGTAACTTGGCAGCCCAGCTACTCCAGTGTAATCCTCACAACTTTGTCTCTCCAAAATTCAGCTCAGTAAGTAGTCAACCTTTCATTTCTCACGTATTATGAGGAAAAATATATTTAACTTAAGTCAAAAGAACTTCGTGCTACATCATTTGTATGTTGCTGGAAGGTTTGAAGTCTTGTAAAACCATTTAGTATCTCCCATTAAATTTTGTAAGGATAAAAAATAATATGTTTCTTTGGTTATTAGACATTTTAAAGTAGAAGGTCAAGAATCAACAAATAAAGATGTTTCTGTGTTGTGACTGCAGCTCCCCCCAGAGCTGCAGGAGAGACTGCAACAGCACATGGAACAGGTCACCAAGAACCACAGGAAGGCCAAGGTTTCGCAGTCTGCCCCTGGCGCACCGGAGGACGCTGTCATCCCTACTGCCGTCCTGGCTGAGGTGCTCCAGAAGCCACATCCGGTTTGTTTGTTTGTTTTCAGATTTACAGTATTACTCTTCCTGCACTTTGTGCCCTTAAGCACTTACAATTATGTACAATGAACATTACTGATTTACCTAGAGTCCATCCATATTAAATCTGATAACACAAAACAATAACAGTTCTTTCATATCCATCTTTAAAGGTCCGCACTGTCCGTGGTGTGGGGGCACGGAGAGAGAAGATCCTGTTTGATGCCTGTGTACAGACCAACCCAGAGGACATCGATCAGGGACAGGGGAAAGTGATTAAAGCAAAACCACTACGATTCACAGCATATGGCGTGGATATGGGGAACACAAGAGAGACTCCAAAAACAACAGAAACTGAGAAACCCACAGGAGAGTGGCAGCCAATCAGGCTCACTGAAGGCCAGGCCGCACCCACGACCTCCAAAGATACTCTAAAGGTCAGAGCCTTCATGCCCATATCAAGAGGCAAGGACACAGGGCAGAACCTGGAGCAGAAACCCCGACAAACACAGGATGTTCAGAGGCCCTCTGCTCCTGCTCCACAGCTGGCCCAAGGTGGAGATGCTGGACGTAACGTACAGAAGCAACTCCTCGAGAACATCAATGGCAAGTGGGAATCACAAGAGGGAGCTGAGGCCAGGAAGGTTTACTTAAGGGCAGTAGGATCATCACATTCAAGTCCAACCAAAGCAAGAAAGAAGGAAGCAGAGCAGGCTTCAATAGGAAGTACCAAAGGCAGGGCTAAAAAGATAGGACCTGCTACAGAAGAAACAGAACCACTACTAGATGGTAAGTACTGTGAGTCTTCAGATGGTGCCAATGCAACAATCAGCGTCAAAAGACAAAAGATCCCTTCTTCCATGTCTAAAGGGATGAAGTCAGAAGCAGACCAGACACAAGCAGGAAGCAAAAGACTGAGAGTTAAGAAGACTGGACCTGAAGGTGAAGATGGAGAGGAGACAGAACCACTGCTTGAAAAGGGTGCAGAAAGAAATGGTGAACCAGGTGGTAAAAGTCATGTTAAGAAAGTTCATCCTCAAGCCAAGACATCCAGAGACATAAAGGCAGAGTCAGGATCGACCTTTGAAGGTAGTACAAAAGGAAAGACCAGAAAAACTGCATCTGTCTCTGAAGAAACTGAGCCACTACTAGAAAGGGATGATAATAGACTCTCTGAAGATGATAGTACAGATTCTGTGTCGTTTCCTCAAGCAACAGATCTAGAGCTGAGCACAGCAGCAAGCAGAGCTAAAAAGACTGCCTCTGTAGCAGAAGAAACTGCACCACTACTGGAAGATAGCTGTGAGAGAGCCTGTGAGCTGACTGATGATTCCATTGTTGAAGTTGAGGAGAAAAGACCTTCAACAGGTCACTCTAAAGGGATGAGGCCAGAACAGACTATAGCCATGACTGGCAAAGTCAAGATTAAGGCAACTGATCCAGTGGTGGAAGAGAAGCCTCTCATTGACCTTGAAAGTAACATTGAGGCACAGGACAAAGCCTTTGGAAGAGACCATTCTACACAGGCTGAAGGCCCGTCCTCGTTTTCAGAATCCACAGAGATGAAACCAGAGGCAGACCAGGCACATGTAGATAGTACTACCCTGAAGACTTCATCTGGTGCTGACCCTCAAACCTCAGATCTTTCTCAGACGAAAAGTCCTACTTCTGCTCCTGAAAACAAAGATGCCAAACCACCTTCTGAGTCAACAACACAAGCTACACAACAATCTGGAGCCAGACCAAAGAGCACAGTTAAAAAGGCAGGTGGAACTAAGGTGAAGAAAGTCACAAAAACCGGAGCCAAGAAAACTGGAACCAAGAAGAAAGCGAAAACAACCATGGTAAGTGGTGAGAAGCAAGACAAGGCTAAAGAGAACAGCAGTCCCACCCAGGACAAACAGAATGGTAGTCCAATCCAGGAAAGAGAAGGGGGTTCAGATGAGCCTGAGTCACAGCAGCATCTAAAGGATGACAACACTGTCAGCAAAGACAACAGCAATGTTAGTGAGGCAACACAGAAGTGTCCTCGTAAGGACTCGCAGACTGTGCAAGGACTACACAAAGATACTGAGCAAAATACTGAAGAAGAAAACAAGGGAGCAGAAAGCAAGCAAGAAGGAAGCCCAGATAAGGACTCTGTAGAAGTTACACCAGTTAGCCACCATGCAGAGGAGGGATCAGAAGAAGCACAGAGTGAAGAAGAGGAAAGGGCACAGAGACGACGTAATAGTCTGGAGGCTGCACAGCTCGCAGGAAGTTTGTTGGACTTCTGAGAAAACAATCCATATGTGGCTAGATGAGATGACTGAAGCTGCACATTGGATGACATAGTCAAGACCGTCATGTATCAGGCTTTCAATGATATCAAATAAGCATGGGTAGTATGTAAGATACAAAGGTATAGATATTGACAAAACAAATGTTTGTGAAGAGTTTGAAGCACTGTGTAAGTGATCCAAACAACTATGCAAGATGTTTTATGCTGTGTGCTAGATCTAATATATTATTAGATAGTATTAAATGGAAAAATAACATACAGTTAAGAAGTTTAAGTGTCTAGCATTGTGTTTGAAAGCCAGTCTCTGCATCCTCTCAACCAGGGAGGAATCCAGATTAGGGTGAGATATAAAGATGCATCATTATATCTAAAGATGCATCTTTTATACATCATGTGACTGAATTTTATTTCACAAGTTGCCTACACTTGTCACCAGGCTCACGGTTATCTGGATTCCAAGGTAATTGTGTTCCTTTAGGTTACAAATCACTTCAGCACAACTTTATTCTTTTATTGTTCATTGCATAGTTGTTTATGATCATTAGCTAATATTGACATTTACTTGGAATCTTTGATATGTAGGAAGATTGACATCATTGTTGTATACTTACTTATAGCTTCAATGTTGAAAATAAGTTGTATATCATATGTATATTTTTGACAATCAAGTACAATCAGTGATTCTGTGGAAAGTGCCCAAATGTTTTCCACTTGCTTGTCATACATTTCTGTTGTGCCAAGCTGACTTTAAGAACTTAATGTATATTTTTGGTGCTTTGAATTGACTTTTAGTCTGCAATTGTGAGATAAGCAAATAACTGTAGCTATACTTGCAAATATAGTATATAGTCTAAGATATACTCAGATCACAGCTTCTTCCAGCAGAAGTTATAGTTATTCAGTATTTATTGAATGAAGCTCAACATATCATTTAATTTCACAGATTTTGTATGGAAAATAGGATGACAAACTGGACTTGTTGCATGCAGCAGTCAGATTCATTCTGATGCACTCATCACTGCCACTACATCAGAGTTGTAAGCTACACTGTTGGCTGAGATATTCTCACATAAATATATACAGAACATACAATCAACTACGTTATAGGAAGAAGTGAATGTATAGAGATGATGTGAATTTTGGAAACTGTACAATCGTTCTGGGAAATCCAAACTCAAGTTAATTAATATGTCTACACATAACCTGCTTGACATGCACATGGATTCCTTGTGATATTCAGTCCAATATAATATAATATACAGAAATGAATAAACAAGTAGTAAATTTATCAAAGCTAGCTATGCACTACAAGGTGTGGCAAAATCATGTAACTTTCCTCTTATTGTAGTCTATTAAGTATTGAAAATATTGAGATTTGTCTTGTTTTTGGTAGGTCTGAATGCCATGTGATCTGAAAGTGGACTGTTGCACTGTGAAATAAAGTGAAACATATAACTTGGTTTCCCCAAAGCACTTCATTATGGTATTTGAATGGTACTAGTATTTAAATGATAATGGTAAGTACAGAAAAACTATGACATGTGGAGATCATTGAGGCAAACTAGATGTATCCCATGTACCTTCCAAAAGAAATATTACAATGTCACTGTGCTCATGTCATTGAGATTTCATTCTTATCACCCCTCAAAATTAGACTCTAGAGTAAAACCATTGCAAAACAAGGTATTTTTGCCCTTCTTCTGCATCAGATTGTTTGTCTGGGGGATGTCATCAACACAATCAAGATTGTGGCCCTTTATATACAGTGCTGACCAACCAATTCAAATATCATGCATTGGCCAGTGCACTTATCAAAGAGAATGTGTGAAAAGTACTGGATACACAATAAAATGCAGATAAATATTGCATCCTTAACCAGAGGTAACATTTCAAACACAAGAATGTGTCTGTTGACTTATTAGCCAACAGAAGAATGCACAACAATGCCAGTGTAACTTTACCTTTGCTTTCATCAGTTTTTGCTATTGAGCAAATAACCACTTCCACAATTAATAAAATATAAAACTATACCTACATTTTGTCACTTTCTTGTAGGGGCACATGAACTTACGTTTGAAGATAACACTGGATCAATGTTTGATTTTTTGCTAAATTACTAATGCATTCAAATCTCAACCAACTTACCAGTACTCAACATTCCATTTGAAATTGTTTACTGGAGACAACACGAAGAATTCACACAAAGCAGAGAAACACAAGGCTACAACATGTACCGGTATATGTATCAATGTCCAGCTTTTGTTTCATCACACTCTGATCATTAATAAGGAGTAAGAAAAGAAAACTTGCATATGTTGACTTCACTGCATTTGAAACATGCTTTACAAGATGCATCCCTGGTCATTCATTCTACTCCTGGTACAAAATGTAAGGTACCACTCATGCAAGATAGGTTTTTCAAAACAAATGAACAATTTGATGTTGCATTTCAAAATCTGTTCAACAGTCAATGAAATTTTGGTCCAAGTTTAAAAACAGTATTAACTGGCTTCACAAATTATCATTCCATTGACTTGTCAAGTATTCACTTTTCAGTATTGAGACAGCTTCTTTTCAGAATGCAGCTTACTGGATGCCACATTGACAAAATACTTGTCGATGAAACCTTTAAAATTCTCCCAAATCAAAAAGTTCATTACAACTACATCTTGATCACAGACTACTTACAGTTTAATTGTTAACATTAGAAAAAATATTTGCTAAGATTTATCAGTAAATCTTACATTTTCCACTGACTACACATAACAGTAGACTGAAAGCAAGACAGACACTTAACATTACCGTTGAAAAAAATCTTGCTAGACATACAGGCTAATCAATTAAAAATCTGAACACACACATAGCCTACACATCAAAGTCTAATTTAACATATGTCAGTACATGTACAGTCCTACCATGGATTATGTGATAATGGTGAAATGAGCTCTGCATCAGGCCACAACAATAGGATTAGTTGTTTCTTGTTTTATTTCTTTTAGTTGAAGCATGAAAACTACAACAAATTTCTAAACATTCCTCCTACACCTTTTCATATCTCTCTAATAACTAAGTATAATCCTCAAAGCCATCTGAAAAATTGGCCTCCACTATTTTTAAATCTAAAAATCAAAGAGCCAACTGATCCTGTTGGAGCAGCCCTAGGAGAATGTGATGTTCACTGCCAAACGGAGACCTGTCCGCTCCAGCTGCAGGTAGCCAGGGTGGAGCTCAGGACAGGGTGGGACTTCACATCCGTACACGGGTTTGGGTATACGTTCAGCTCGCCTGCAGTCTCCCCGGAGTTGAAGTTGAAGTAGAGCACCTTCCCGTCACCGCTGCCAGTCACAATCATCTGTCCATCAGGGGTAAACTCACAGCCGATCCGATACCCCTGAACCTACAACATCAGAACAATGATCAGTTAAAACATGAGCATTACTTTAAGTTTGAACTTGATATAATATGAAAAGCTCAAGTCTTACAGGTTGTTTAATGTAACTGCCATTGTTCCATGGCTGCAAACTGCTGTGTCATGCCAGGTAGCAGTTAGTTACACCAGCGAGGCCAGGTAAAACAGAAACAAAATTTCTCACCTTGTGTCCTTCAAAACGGACAGTCTTGTCCATGGCATATGGGCGAGATGTGGAGAAGAGGGCGATGTAGTCTCCATTTGTCTGGGCGATGAAGTTTGGCTCTGAGGGATGGACAGCCAGAGAAGGGCAGCTGTATCGCTCCTGGAACACAAGACAGCTTTATGTTTACAACTGAAGCACAGAGTGGGAAACTACATCAAAAGATCGAACTCAGTATTTTCCCTGTCCATTTCCAGGTTTTTTTATATCAGCAAAAAAAAAATGATTATGTTTACATCATCTCATTTTGTCTGTCTGTATCTGTATCTGTATAGCCGGTATAACCGCCTTTCGGCGTAACACACCAGCTTCGCAGGCACGCGGCGCGGCGGCAGCTGGTTATATTACACCGATCGACTTGTTACACCTAACCCTTGAACTTCTAGCTCTAGACATTGTTTAAAGCTATCCATTGACAATGCCCCTACTGTACTTGGTGACAGTGAGTTCCACTCTGCGATAGTTCTAGGAAAGAATGAATTCTTGAACACCTCGATCCTTGGTTGATAACTCTGGTACTTGAATGCGTGGCTATTTCTTGTTCTCTTCTGGGCTGGTATTAGGTACTTAGTAGTTGGGACATCCACCAGTTTATTAGTCATTTTGTACATCATGCATAGTCTAGACATCTTTCTTCTGTCTTCCAGGGAGGTCCACTGTAGGTTTCTTTTCATTTCCGTGACACTAGCCCCTCTTACATAGTTGTTCATACAGAATCTTGCAGCTTGATTCTGTACCCTTTCCAATTTGTCTTTGTCTTTCTTTGTATATGGATCCCATACTGTCGCAGCGTATTCTAGGTTCGGTCTTACAAGTGACGTGTATGCAAGTGATTTTACTCTAGTTGGACATGCCCACAGATTACGTTTAATCACTCCCAATGTCTGTTTCGCCTTAGTTGTGATATTATTAACATGTGCACCCCACTTCAGTCCGCTTGTCAGCGTGACGCCCAGATACGGATGGATTTTTGTGGTTGCTAAAGCCTGACCACAAAACTGGTAGCTAGTTGCATGCGGTGTTCGTTTGTTTGTTATGTGCATAATGTAGCATTTTTCGGGATTAAACTTTTCGGGATTAAACTGCATGAGCCATTTGCTTTGCCATTCTTCCAGGGTGTTCAGGTCTTTTTGGAGAAGTTGTGAGTCGGTCTGTGTAGAAAGCTCTACATACAATAGACAGTCATCGGCAAATAACCTCACATTTGAGTCAAGCTGATCTGGTAGGTCATTTATATACAAGAGAAAGAGCAATGGCCCCAGGACGGTTCCTTGAGGGACCCCAGACGCTACTTTAACTGGAGCCGACGCCTTCCCTTCAACCACTACTGTTTGCTCCCTGTTGGTCAGGAAGGCCTTTAACCAATTCAGCGTAGGGCCTTGGATTCCATAATACTCCAGTTTTGAGATGAGCCTGCCATGGGGGACTTTATCAAAGGCTTTAGTGAAATCAAGTATTGCTAAATCCACCTGCCGTTTACTGTTTAGTGCGCCAACTACGTCATGGACTGTTACAGGGGTTTTTCTAGAAAAATCTGGCATGAGGGAGCGGTATCACGGCGAGGGAGCGAAGCGACCGAGGGGGGGTTGGTGCGGAAGGGGGGTATCCCCCCTTCCGCCATGTGAAGCCTTTGAAAATTTGAAGTTGAAATGGGACAGTTTGAGGTTACTTGAGGGGGAAAATTTGAACTCTTTCATTGTATGTTTCTTTGAAAATAAACAACTATGATTGTGAAAAAGGTCTGTTTACTTGGATTTTACAACACCTTCAAAGGCTATTTTAGCTTGCACAAAATTTACAATATGCTAGATACAGTGCTCAATACAAATTTCCAGTACTATAATGGATGTAAAAGCCATAGGAGAAGGATAGATAGACTAAAATAATTCAATGTTTTTTTGTCAATATCTTTCCTAAATTTCTATTCATGCATTGCATATTTCCTTTATAAAATATAAGTACAATCAACAGTACACACAATGTGCAAATCACCCTCTATACACTTAAAACAATTAGTGATCAATGTTACTAGTAGCTCCAGATGACAACATTGGGTTTGCCACAAGCTCAACCCTTTCCCATGGCAAAGTTGCAACTTGCAACAAGCTGCTACAAACTCAGGTCTCATGTTTCACTTCAGAGCCTGTTCTATAGTATGCAAATGAAGGAGGCTTACTTGTAGTCTTTGGGCAAGTTCTCAATGAACTATGTTTGCTCCATTCAGACTTTTACTACTAGAGCTAAATTTTCATGTTTGTGGTAAGATTTTGGAATTTCCATGAGAGAAACATAGTTTGTAATGCTAGAATACATTGTTATGTGGTGTTGTTTTTGTATTTTTACTGGAAAAAGATAATTTTGAAAAAGACTTAGGCTTCAATCTGAAAAATTGATATGAGGGCGCTAGCTTGTTACATGAGGGCGCAG